AAAGGTGTAAAAATCAACGCATGAGTCACATGTTCCCCAAAAAATAAAAAACGGTTCACATTTTCGAAGTTATCTCTAATGTCTATGCCAGGTCATACTGAGACCATTTAAACAGGATGGAGTTACTTAGAAATTATCATGGATCTGATGAATTAAAATGTGTAGGGCTTTAGAATGTCTTTTTTTTTTTGTTATGGGTTAGCACTCATTGTCATGCTGTGAATTTCATATCAGCTTACATGCTAATTTTCTACCCTATGTCCACTAATTCATGTACCTTTAAAGAATTGTTTGGCATAAAGGTTTCTGATGAACTCTGTTTAGGTCGTATTGTGAGTTCCAGATAACCTGCTTGTTCATATCTCAAGTAGAGCTGTTTGGATGACTTGTGGAAAATGTTTTGTGAAAAAAAATGTGCTTGGATAGTTGTTATTTTGAAGATCTCTGAGCATTTCTTGAGTGAACAACTTTTTTCTAAGGATTACCCTATAACAACTTACTCGAATAACTATTCTTTGTAAAAACTGCTTTTACAAAGCTTAAACAAAAATGTGGTTTCAGAAGCAATTTTTTGCTGGATATCAAAAAGTTGCACAAACAAACGCCATTAGTTTTAGATCCGTTTGGACGACTTATCGAAAAGTTCTATGAAAAAATATTGGGAAAAAAAGCTTCTGAAAAAGAAATGTGCTTGGACATTTATCGTTATTTTTGAAGTTCTCAGAGCATTTTTTGAATGGAACAACTTTTCTCTAAAAGGTACCATAAAAACATTTTTTCGCAAAAACTTCTTTTGAAAAAACTTAAAACAAAAACGTGATTTCGGAATCTCTTTTTACTGGATATCAAAAAGTTACACAATCAAAGGCCAGTAGTTCTATACCCTTTCCTTCTGAAGTTTGATATAGGTGGATTGCTTTCTTATGAGTCTGGGCTTAGTCTATTAAGGTTTTTGGTTCTTCCATCTTGGTCTTATAAGTATAACGTTCGAGAAAGGCAATGGGGCGGGGAGAAACCTTAGATGGGCATGGGCGAGTGGGTCAAAATTTATTTTCCTGGAAATTTATAACTGGCCAAGGTGGGTGGCAGGTTGTGAAATATTCAACTTAAACTGACTAAAATTAGCAAGCAATGTACAAAGTCTCTGGCTTTCATAGTTTGCAGCTTGGGGACCTTCTCATGGTTAGCTGCCTAAGTTAGAACCCATTCGGTCATTTAGAAGTGCCTTTTGCAATATTTGATAAGCAAATTTTATTTGGCTAATCTTTCCGAAAAGTATTTTTGAGTATCAAATTTCGAAAAAAGGATGGTAAGTGTTCAATTTACAATTGATATTATTTGTAAAAGAGAATTGAATTTATAAAATATAAAGTAAAAATATATATTAAAGATTTTATTCAATATAAAATATAGTTATCCAAAGAAGTAATATTGCTTATATGGCATTACTTATTGTTTACATGATGATTCAGACATATCAATATACATTGTTCAGTAAAAACTAAAAACCCACTCCATAAATTCTATATAAAAGAAAGATATATTTATAGTAGAGAGACTATTCCAAAGAAAAATAGGAGAAGAATAAAAAAACGATAGAAAATAAGAAAAATGAAGAAACGGATGGTAGCAACAAACAAGGAAAAGAACAAAGTTAAATTAATGCGGGAAAATTTAGGAAATATAAATTTTCAGTAAGGATATTTCTGTCTTGAATTTTTTTTCTGCTTCTGCTTCTCGGAAGAAGCTAGAATTTATAGCTTCTTTCCAAAAGCCGAAAAATTGTTTCTGCTGGTGCTCGAAAAGCACTTGCTTGTATTGGCCAAACGCCTTAAATTTCCAAAAAAGTGCTTTTGGCTTCTTAGAACTTGGCCAAACAGGTTCTAAAACATCTATACAGACATGAGGCCGTATGAATTTTCTCTGAACTATCCAGCGAACCAAGTTTCACAATATCAGTAATCTGTTCTTCATTTAGTTCTGGGTGGTTCTTGTCATGTCTAAGATTATGGCATGATCTCGTCCAAGATTATGGCATGATTGTTGTTCAAAAAGCTTCTGCTTCTTCACAACGACTTTCTCTTTCTTGTTGTACATGACCTATTAGCATCATTTGGAGGATACCAAAGATGAAACCCAACAGGTTTGGATTCTATCTAACCAAAACTGGAAAGAAAAATCTCAAATGTTTGTTCTAGATTACAAGAAATCACTTTCTGTAACACAATCCCCATTCTCAGTATTAAAAGAGCCATTTCCATTCTAAGAAAATAAAATAGAAAAAGTTAAAAAATAAATAGAATATTATGAAGTGAAAAAATGGAAGAACATAAATGGGGCATGCCAGGGCAGGAGGCAAAATTATGTGAAAATGCTAAACGGGGCAGGGCATGGCGGGTTGGAATTTTAAGGGGTTAAGGCTTGCCTATCCCGCCCTGCCCCATTTACATCCAAACTAATGTTTTTCTTTCCCTAGTAATGTTATTAACTAGCTTGTCATTTTTTTCTGTCTTTAGCTGTTCTTTGAACCACTTAATCCTGTTCAAAATAAAGATCTATCTTTTCCTTAGCTGGATTTTTGATATCCTCACTTGGATGCTTCAATTTTCTTGCAGGACAATAAGGACCTTTTTGCCGAGGAAGCAGCTGCTCAGAGAGAGAGGGAACGACAGCGGATGCTTTCTATTCCTGGTCTAATTGCACCTAATGAGATACAGGATGAAATGGTGGACTCATGAGATACAAAATGTCCGCCATATATAGATACTTCATTCCGTTTTATGCCCCTGGAGGTGGTGTGGGTGCTTGGAGTGTGTTATCACGAACTGTAGTGGCCAGCACATCCTATTTTAAAAGAATTTCTATCGTGTTGCGAAAATTTTCTCAGAGTAGTAGTGGAAGTGGTATCTAGGACTCATGACAATGGTTCCAAGAAAAGGATTGGCTGGATGTAGAGTAGTTAGATCCTAATCTAGGAGTACAGTGTGTTTATTGGACATTCATGGTTTCATTCGATATTGTAGTTGGTTAGAGTAGTTGATGGATTGTTGAATTGACATAATTCATCCATCGAGAGTAGGTTTATTATGTATACAGGCATCTGTCAGTGATGCAGAAATCATTTTTGTTTATTGGTGGAAACAGCAGTGTATTTCTGTACTATACTCAGAAGTATGATTTTTGGTTATTGGTATATGCGGTTTGTTGCCACAACAGCTGGGTTTGAAATGTATTAATGAAGGGCATCTATGAATTTTCAGCGAAGTTAAGGGACAAAGGGACAATATTCTCTGTTTCATTACGGGAACATTACCGTTGGTTTTGCACAAAAGGAATAGAAAGGAATATAGGCACGTGTGCTGATTATTCTATTTTATTTGTTTTATTTTTGCTGGAATTTTTTTTTTCAAATAGGAAGGACAGACTATTCAGTAGTACTCCCTCCGGTTCAAAATAAGTGATTTTTTGGATGCTTTCACACAGATTAAGAAATCTACCTTTTAGCATTAATTAGCAATGGAATTGATCATATTAACCTTTACTATCTCACATAAACGCTCCTGACACATATTCTAATACTATTTACTCCAAGGACAATGTAGGAAAAAAATATAATTAATTTATTCTTGAAATTTGAAAAAATTACTTATTTTGGACCACAAAAAAAAGGTCAAAAAAATTACTTATTTTGGACCGGAGGGAGTAGTAGATTATGCTTTGACGGCTAGACCACGCGTGGCTGCGGAAGACGTAGACTGATTCAAATTTATTGAATGACTGACACATAAGAGTGGACGAAAGAAATGTCGTACCAACGTCCAAAGAAAAAAAAGAATTAGAATGTAAAATCCCTACTTTTTGTAGCAGGGAGTTTGCCAGAGACCACATATGATTTGTTTTCTATTTTGATGATATATCACTTATTTACTGGTGAAAAGTATAAAACGATTAGAAGTTATACGAAAAGTTCGACAACATGCCAATGGTAAACAGAAAATTATGAATGAGAATATGAAAGTTTCTGAATTTACTGCAGTTATTACAAGCTATTCCGTTCAATGAGTTTTACTGTTTTGATCTGAATTAAAATATTTGCTCAATTGGATAGCTTTTTTCCCTTTGAGAAATTTCTAGAAGTTTCAAGACAAAAACAATATATATTGCGATTGGACTTGATTCGAGTGGCAATTCTTCTGGAAACAAAGTGAAAATAAAAAAGAGGGGGACAAAGAAAAGTCAATTATGATGTGTTACTTACATTCTGTTTGGATCATTATTTTTATTGTTTTATAATGTATTGTATCGTATTATTTTATAAATATAATATTTGGATAGATTGTATTGTTTGTTATTGTTAAATAATATTTTGCTGTTTGGTTTGACTGTATCGTACTATATGGTAACTGATAAGTTTACTAAAATACTCTCAATTGTTTAAATATTGAATTTATCAAAAATCTTACATAAAAATAATTTTAAAAAATAAAACAGAAGAAGGCAAAGCACCTTGAAAAAGAAGAACAAAAGATTGTGATAAAAGAAGGCAAAACAAAGGAGCACAGCTAATTAGAATTGAGTTAAAAGCAAATTAAGAAAAAAAACAAAACAGAAGGCGGCAAAATACCTTTAACGTTGGCGGTACAAGTTCTTAAAAAAAAACAAATTAGGTTATAGGTTGGAAATTTGGAGTTAAAATAGAAAAAATAGAATTGTGGAGTAATAAGTTAGGACATAATTGGAAAGAAAAATAGAAAACAATCGCACCACACCAAATCGGTTATTTCAAAAAAGAAGACTTTTTATTATTCCGGAATAATAGATTTAACAATACAATACAATCAATTTTAATAAAACAATCAAAATAAATATTATTTTGAGACAAAAATACAATGCCACTGTTAAACATCCAAACAAGCTGTTAAACAATGGTAAGTACAAGGAAAGGAAAGGGGAAAAGGGGAAAAGCAAAAAGAGAAAAGAGAAAAGAGAAAAAAAAAACAGCAAATAAAAGAAACTCAGAGAAGTTGCCAGCAGAAAGTGAAACCAAAAGGAAAAACAACGCAACCTTCTCTTAAAGCACAAGTTGTACTCTTTCCATATATCTATTTGATCACCCAATTAACAAGCTGCTTTATCATCAGATCATCACAATATATCTTTTTCCGTGGCATCGATTCTTCGAGCTTCGCTCTCCAGTTTCATCTGATTTGCTTTTGGAGAGAGAGAAGAAGAAGAAGAAGAGAAAGGCGAGGCGAAATGGGACAAGCCTTTCGCAAGCTCTTCGATACCTTCTTCGGAAATTCTGAAATGAGGGTATAGCAATTCGGCCTAGTCCTTCTCCTCTTATTTGTCCATTATAATATGATCTATTGATTGCTCTTTTTCTGTAGTGCTTTGTGTGAATTTGCGTAATTAATTTTGCCAATTTAAGCTCTCCGCACTTGTTCTTAGCTCGTTTGGAAGATGGGCTTTCATATGCTTCCAAATTTTCCTTTCTTTGGATTAGAAGAAGCCAACTGTTTAGAAACATGTTTGAGGTTATTCAGGACGAACTGTAATAAGCTGGATCGTGCTGAGCCTTCAACTAATGTGTATTTCGGTTGTCTTTTTTAGACTGCCTTAAATTGAATTAGCCAGCATATCATTAATATTTTCTTTCTGTATGAGTTGGAAATTTTTTAGTTGATTTCTTAGTTTAACTCCGCTTCTCCTTTTCTTCTTTGGAGAATATTGAATGAGAAAGAAACTTATTTTTGAAAGCACATGAAAGTGATAAAAGGCACCTTAACATAATTAAGTATCTGTTGGCTAGGGATATTGGACATATTTGTGACAAGTACTGTGATGTATGGTCCATTTTTTGTGTTAATTGGTAGTTAGAATGACTGATTTGAAATGTTTTCTTCCGCAGCTGACCATTTTTAATAATATTTTCTCTGATGAAAGGTAGAATTTTACTGAATAAAATAGTAACAAGGCGGTAGTAATCTGTAAACAGTGTCTGGCCCTTTGCTCCTCCTAAACCTGTAAGGAATCCAGAAGAGCTAAAATTTCTATAATTTCAGCTGCTATATTTCTAATCCTCCAACACTACAAATCCTGAATACATCTAAACTTAATATGGGGAATACAATCTTCTAACCCCAGTACCCCACTAATGTTAGTAATATCTGTTGTGCACTTACTGCAGCTAGTTTGCTTCTTCAAGGTTGCTTCCTTTCTCACGTTGATTGAATGCACTGTTGTAGCTAGTATTTAACATGGTTTTGGTAATGCATACAGTCAAGTGATGAATTAGTTCCTTTGAAACATGAAAGTAATTTTGTCAGTTTGGAATAACAAGTTAGATATTGCCAAAACCACCAATCCGTATGTAGGTTGTGATTGATCAAGAGTTTTTTTAGTTTGGTCAGGACTTGTATGTTAGTGTGTAGGGATAAATGTGAGATATGGAGAACCCCTAATTTAGTTTGAAAGATAAATTACTTAGTACCAGAATGAATTCATATAGCCGACCCAAACTAGTTGGGATTGAGGTGCAGTTGAAGAAAACAATGCAAGATGTCAGCTAGCAAATTGGAATAACTAACTTGGAAATCTCAGTTTCCACTTTCCCTTCAAGAATGGCCTTAAGTAGATAGGGTAACCAGTTGAAAGTCAAAGAGGTTAAAAAGGCCCTCAATAAATTTATAGGCACTTTCACCGTGTCAGAGGTGATATGATCCTAGTCAGCATCCTTAATTTCTCCTTTAAGGTAAATGTCATCCGAACATATGAAATATCATCAAATAAAATCTTTTTCCTTGGGGTATTAGGCATGTGGTGCAGCACCCAATGTGTCGAAACATTGGAAGGTATGGGGATAAGAGTTTCTTTGAGCCAAATCAGTTTGCTTCTCCTAATGAATTTTTTTTTGTTGATGAAGTAAGGAATTTCATAAAAGGCATCAAGAAGATGCAAATAGTATAAGAAAAGATAAATATAAAAGTCAATGTTAGCTCTATTACAAAAGGTCTATTCTAAAGTTAAGGAGCTAACAAAGTCCAAAAGGTTTCACGGAAACTAACTAGGGAAAGATCGCACCAACTAAACAGATTTGCTAAACATCTAGCCTTCAGAGTGTAGTTTGGAGCTGATATGCCATCAAAACATCTTCTGTTTCTTTCTGTCCACAGACACCAGAATATGAAACCAGGGCTCATCCTCCAAACTATTATTGCTCTCTCTTAACAAACAACTGCTGCAAGTTGGTCGGGTTTTCGTAGCAGAAAATTCATTTTCTGCAGAAGTAATAAGTGATTATATAGTGCAACATTTATTATCCACAATTCAAGAACTTGCTTTCATTGTTCGTCCATTGCTATCTATGTTCACCAACCTCAGTTTCATCTTGAATTATTTCCTGCAGGAGCTTTGTTCTGTAGATCCTAGATTTTCTGCTTGTATGTGTAGTTACTTTTTAAATACTTGCTGTTTATCTTAGCCCCGGGCCTTAGATACTGGTTACTGTTATTGCATGTCATTCATCTTTTGGTTGTTATGCTTCTGCTACTATTACGGTTTCTACTGGAGTTACTAATGAGTTGTCTTTTCTTGTTTTTTATTTCCATCTTTCTGAGCCGAGGGTCTACCGGAAACAGCCTCTCTGCCCTATCGGGTAGGGGTAAGGTCTGCGTACACATTACCCTCCCCAGACCCCACTTGGTGGGATTTTACTGGGTAGTTGTTGTTGTTGTTGTTGTATGTGTAGTTACTTTTTAACAATACGTATGTCTTGTTATCTTGTTTCATTTTTCCCTCTACTGTTATTTCTTGTCTCTGATTCTAATTTCAACTGGGATAGGTTGTAATGCTTGGGCTAGATGCGGCTGGCAAAACAACTATATTATACAAACTGCACATAGGAGAAGTTCTATCAACAGTTCCTACCATTGGTATGCTGTCTGTTTTAACTTCTGCTTACTGTGGTATGGGACCAATTATGAAGTTCGTATTTGTAAAACTTCAACCAATCTGCTTGTGGTGAAGTCATTGTCAGCATGTGTTGCTTTCTTTTTTTGTTTCTTGTTGTTTGACAGAGCTACCCGGTACCTGTGCTAGTGGGAGGTAGCAGGTGCCCACCGGAATAGTCGAGGTGCGTGCAAGGTGGTGTCCTGGACACCCCTCTTATCCAAAAGAAAAGATGGGAAAAAGTTTGTAGGAGACGCCAGTTTATAACTTTCTATTGGTCATTGTTAGTTCATTATGAATTTCTGAGAGTGTTTGGTACATACTACTTCATGAAGTAACTTATTTGGGAAATTGCTCCCAGCAGGCCAGCACTAACCAAAATAGTTAATGGAACCTTAAAAAAGCTCGCTTCTCCTATCTAATTGACTTCCTTTTTACTTGCAAACTCCCAGTGATCAAGTGCAACACTTGATTCCATGGCATACTTTCGACACCTTTTTTTTGTTTTTGGATAGATCACATACTAATCTCTTCTTTCTTAGGGGAATCCTTTTCATTTTCTTACATTACTTTGGCTGTCACATCTCGGAGCCCAGATCTTATCTTATGTGACTTAAAATAGGTTATGGTTTTTCTAATTCTGATGTCATTGCTTATTATCTCAACATAATATTTGCATAATGGAAGTTTGAAATCTTGAACATTGATGTGAAAACTCTTCCTGCTTGTAACGTCATTAAAGTTTTCGGAGAAAATTCTCAAAAACACCTGCATCACCAGGTGAATATTTGTCTATGGTGTCTGGAACTACTGTAATAGATGATTGTATATGCATGTCTTGCAGGATTCAATGTGGAAAAAGTACAGTACAAAAATGTTATTTTTACCGTGTGGGATGTTGGTGGACAAGAGAAATTAAGGCCACTCTGGAGGCACTACTTCAATAACACAGATGGCCTGGTAACTGCACCCGTTATTATTCTTTGCTTTCTATTTTTCAAAGAAAATAGATTGTATTCTTTGGTTGCTACTCTATATCTGGAAATCATTTCTTTACTTTGCATTCAGTGGCATCTAACCCATAATATCACATATATGCCTGTGGCCAAAATAAATTTTCCTTTCTTCATTGAGAGAGGTAACATTGCGTAAAAGCAAAGAGGAATTTGAAGTCTTGAGAGTGATGAGATTAATTATCAAGGATACTGTACATTCAATTGTATCCTTCTCCCTATAACTCTTGGGGCCAAGTTTATTTGCCCGTTCCTTCTGAGCCCCTCCCCTCCACAGACCACACAGACAAAAGGGAATGAAAAGAGATGGATATTTCAATTAAGAAAACATATGAATATTTTTATCCAAATGTTTGAATTTGGTATACAGAAGAAGCATGCATTATTAAATGTATTGGCCCAATCCCTTATGATTGACAAAACTTACCGCTTCTCTTGTTTATGTATTTCAATTTCTTGTTTGGAAATTGCCTTTCTAAACTATATACCATATCTCTTCGCTACGTTATACAGATTTATGTCGTTGACTCTTTGGATCGAGAGAGGATTGGAAAGGCGAAACAAGAATTTCAGGTTGTTTATCTAGACCTTAATTTTATGAGTCAGGCTTCTTTGTCGATGACATAATTTAATGGCCTTTATAATGTGTTTTCATTATAAAAAAAAAAAAAAAAAGTTTTCCTTATAAAAGATAATGTGTTTTCAGGCCATCATCAGAGATCCATTCATGCTTAATGCAATCATCTTGATTTTTGCTAACAAACAGGACATGGTAAGTTGCTTTTTGTTCCAGTATGTTTACTCGTTCTCAAAATGCAATCAAATGCTTATTTACCATTTTGCTCTTTTTACTTGGTCTTTGAACAAAAAAAGGAGGAGGCTAAAGCTACTAAATGAATCCAAAAAAAAAAGGTTCAACGTACTGTTACCATTTTTGTTTTAAAAAGAAAATAAAGGTTCAAAGCTTATTGAGCAACTTATCAGATTTATTGTCCTGCACTTTGAGATGTTCTGCTCTTTAGTTTGTTATAACTAAAATTTCATGTGGACGAGGATGATATACTGTAGTCCTTGATACCTTGATTAGTGAAACCGAACTATTGTCCATATCTCATAAGATAGATTGTGGGTTCGAGTCACCAAAGGAGCAATAGCTCCAACAAAGGGGGATAAAAGGGGAATCAAAGGGGAGGGGAAAAAAAGGTTCTACCTAAATCTAAGCAGACTTAAACATGTGTACTCTGATCCTTGATTATTGAAACCAAAGTTGTATCTGCCTCAGTAGATAGTTGCTCAGTGAGCTCCGGTAATCAAAGTATGTTAACATGGTCTCCAATGAATATGTGCACACGACCACTGTTATTTCTCTTTCTTGCTTTCTAGTTTCCACCAAAGAAGCAGCTCATTCTTTTTCCTTATCTTTCTGTCGTTTGTTAAAAGCAAGCATTTTATCACTTAAAAGCAATAGTGTCAAAGCAAGAAAATGTGGTAAGATGGATTTTGTAAATGACTGAGAGACCCTGTTAATGGTGTATAGAGAATCTGCATAGATAGTAAACAGGCACAATCTTTGTGCTATTCCAATTCTATAACATTTACCATTTCGAAAAACCAAAAAAAAAAAAAAGATGACGTTTCATGTAGTCACGCATTGGCAAGATACTAGAAGTTTCATTTATTCACATGCCATTTTCTCCCTTTAGTGTTGGGTAGTACTATTATTATCTTGAATATCTTTTTTTATCCAGAAAGGAGCAATGACACCAATGGAAGTGTGTGAAGGCCTTGGTCTCTATGAGCTTAAAAACCGAAAATGGCATATACAAGGTACATGTGCTCTTAGAGGGGATGGCCTATACGAGGGACTGGACTGGTTAGCCAGCACTTTGAAAGAACACAAGGCTGTTGGATACTCTTCGATAGGCCCTTCATCCTTCTGAATAATCAGGTTTAGACCTAGCCTTGATGTCTTCACATTTGTAGCTAGTATACATAACCTGCTGATCTTACTATACTTGACCCTTTGCAGGCTCACTAAAGAACTTGAACCTCTTTTGAGGAGCAACACTCAATACCCAGCTGTTTATAAATTCGAAGATTATGAACTCACGATGATAGTTCTTTCCCTTCACTTCTTGGTGCTGTGCTTTTGGTGCTAGTGAAGTAGATAAGGCACTTGATTTCGGGCCTAGTGTGAAACTTGATCTTTGATTCTGTTGTATACTGAAATCTGGGCCTTACAGTTAATGTTACCTAGACGCTAAGAATGCTTCTGTCGATACCTACTGCAGTACTCTCAGTATGAATGCTTTCATGTGAATATGGTAACTAATCATCTAGTTTCCAGATGTCCAAGTACAAAATATGCCGGTCAAATTTTTCAGAAAACATGCTTTCCCAGATGATGCTCGAGAAGCTTTTGCTATCAAAAGTCAAAACATTAATCTCATTTTTTTCTTAAGTGAATCTTATTCCTGGAACAGTTTCGTCATCATGGAAATACATGTATCAAGTAAAAAGTCTCCTTTTAAAGAATTTCAAACCCACTAAGCGTTTGTGTATAGAGTTTACTTCCCTGTACATAATTCCCCTGTACGTCTGTCTCGATCACTTAGCTTTTAATTTAATAGTAGGTCGACAGCCTCGATACACAGAAGACTAACTCGAGATTATTATTATTTTGGTGCTCATCTTCATTGTGCCAGTTTTGGAGTTAAAGGTTAAATTGATTAAATTTCTTTTAAAGTAATATATTTATTAAAGTTGGAGAGGGGTCTCTGAGGCAAGACAAACAATAAGTTGTGGAGGAAAAGAACAGCAATGACATTATAAGCCATTCAAAGGCCAGCCTCTAATAAAATAATGAATGCCAGACAGATAACTATCAATTCTCAAACAGTCAAACTATTCCATTGATAAGGACCTAAACAGAATGAAAGAAAGAATGAACGAATTAAAAAATTAATTAACTCGCTGGTATCATTCTAGTCTGCGTTTATAATGCAACTCCAAATCTTCTGTTTACCACTGACCATTGTTCTTCTTATATTTGGTATAAACAACGTAAAATTATATGTGATCGAAGTTATAAATGCACTTTGTTGCGGCATTTGTTGCTGTCAAAATTTAGATTCACTAGTTTTACCAGTAGAGAATTATGTGGACATGACCTGCCTATGATAGAAGAAAAATTTTTTTACTAAAAATATTACTACTACATCTTCTTTTTTCTTTTTTTTTCTTTTTCTTTTTGTTATGGATAAGACCAACACTATTCTGGTCGATCCTGTTTTCCTTTTTAGGTTTACTAGGATAAGAATGAAAAACTAAACTATTGGACATTTAATAGTACAGTATTTTCTAATTTCACCATTCACCAACAAAGAATGATGTGGACATGACCTTAGAGAGTTCAATCATTCTTAAAAATAGCAACTGAAGATGCTTTTTTTTTCTTCCTAAAATGAGTAAGAGAAATGGGACCACAGTTTGCTTAAGAAAAGCAAAACAAAAAAACTATGGCATGATTATCAGAAAAGGGAGGTTTGGATTAATTATGATGGTGTAAAACAATCTTTTGCAATTAATAGATTAATTGAAATATGATCATACACTTGACATTTTTCTATTCAAAAACTAAAGAATATCATAGAAGTTCTCCTAATTGCACCCTATTTTTTTAAAAAAAAACATATATATAATATGTACAATTCAATAGGTTAAATAGAAAAAATAGACCATTTTTCTTGGTTGTAGTGCGGATGTTGGAGCAGCTCCTCTATGATGTGGATGTGGAGAGGGGGCTGTCGCCGCTTGATAGAGGGAGAAGCGGGAGTCACCGGAGCTATCTGCGTCGAGTCGAGTGTTTCGATTGAAAGAGGAAGGGAGACAACTCAGATGCCAGCACGGAAATAGGAAGAGTCGTGCTTCAAAGTAGAATTCTTCTAAGATCCATTGCTCGATTTTGCTGCATGCTCTGCTCCCAAAATGCAGAGAGACTTGCGAAGGCAGATCCGGATTGGTTGGTCCGGAAAGTCATGGGAGAGGCAGGCTAAGTAAAATAATTGTACTTGGTAAATTGCTATTACACCTTACATTTTAGCTTTCTTGGTAGTATCAAATATTATTTTGGTATTTTCAATTTTTGATAGTCGGAGTTTTGGAGCAATAGTGAAGTTATCTCCGGGTTCAAGCCGTAAAGCAGCCATTAATTCTTGCATTAAAGTAGGCTATCTACTTTACACACCTTAAGATACGATCCTTCCCCAAACGTTGCGTGAATGCAGAATCTCATGTGCATCGGACTTGCTCTCAGGGGCGGATCTACCTTATGAGGTAGGGGTGCCACGCCACCTGTTCGCCTCCGTAAAAGTTTTACTATGTGTGTAAGATAGCTGTGAGAATACTATTATATTGTTAGAGTGGCACCTAAAAATCACAAAGTAGTCTTGGGTGCCACTGGTTCAGCGCCCACTCCATAGGCTTTGGTGCCCTTACGGATACGAGCTCGAATCCTACTATAGCGTCTTCATTGTTTTTACCTTTTATTCTACTTATTACGATTTCTTTATTCTTAGTTTATTTAGCTCTAGGGCCCACCTCTTCTTCCTTGTTTTCCCTTTGCTTTCTTGTCCTCCCTTTCTTCCTTTTTTCCCTTTGCTTTCTTGTCCTCCCTTTCTTCCTTTTTATTTGCTAATCTATCTTTTTGAATTAATTTTAGTATTAGCATATAATGACTTTCTTTTTTATAACATAATATTATTTTGTATATTGGAGAATAATTTGTATCGTATTTCTTATTGGCTTTTGAAAAAACATTGAATAACTTGACTAGTAGTCATTTTGAGTTGACTATAATAGGTTGAATGTTGAAGGTAACTCGACAATTAACATGAAAAAATTAACCCAAGAATGATAAAGGTAAATTATTCTAGTCAAACAAAGAATATGTAGTATTAAGCTAGTCTTTAAGTAAATTTTCTAATTTGAGGCCCTCTTTCATGATTATTTTTTTTGTTTGCAATTTTCTTTTACAAATATATATTTAAATTAAGTATAAAAATATTGAACCTAAATCGAACTTATTTGATTTGTCAAAAAAGACCTATTCCAGTTAATCCTAAATCATTTTTATTCGGTCTTTGTAGCTAGTTGTAAGTATTATTTTGGGGCATACACATAAAATTTTAATAATCGGTGTCAATATTTGAAGAAGCGAACAAATAAATAATTACTATAACAACAAACAACGTTAAATTTTGTATTCATATCCAATATTTTTTATTTATATATACATATCTAATAAAATATTTCAGCAAAGCGGTGTCCCGTAACATCGCTTGGTGTCATTTATATCTGCCCTTGAATACACTGTATGCATAAAGTAATGGCAACGATAACCTCCGGATCCTGAATCCGCCTCTGCTTGCTCTACCCACTTTTTGATCATAGTACCATTGGGGAAAAAAAGAATATTGTTGCTATATTTTTATTTTCTGTATTGGAAAATTTCAGGAAAAATATGCGGCCGCTATCTTTTGGTGCGCATTGATTAACATACTCATTGTACACTGGTTCGCAAATCACATGAGTGTTACTAATTTTATTCTATAACATTTGTCCCTTTTTCCAAAAGAAATTCACTATACTGGAACCATAACTGATTAACTGTCACTGTCGGTGGAATAAAAAAGAAACCACAACCACCAGTAACCAAAAAAGGTCTCTCACTTGTACCACACATTACCTACTGGTAAATCACACAAATGTCATGTCATACTCCAATTTACATGGAATTATTTGGAGTTTAGATTCGATCTTTTTCTCCTAAAAGATCAAAATAGAGATGCGTTCATGTCAAAATTCCACTATGTTTTGCCACAAACGCGCCTTGATTTTGCGTAAGAATCCGCTGTTGCTTTATTTCCCCTGTTGTCAAGGTCTTCGTAGAAATGCGAAATTCCGATGTGTTCTCGATCAGATTGTCCCCAAATTCGCCGTTTCCTCTTCGCTGAGCTCAGTTTTGACTTCCGGCAACGCGATTGCTGCAGCGGCCGCTGTGGCAGGTACCGGCTCGCTTCACGGAGCGGTTTCGTCTGCGATAACTCAGGTCGCCGTCACGGCGGTGGCGATTGCCTCCGGAGCTTGCCTTTCCACTAAGGTGGATTTTTTGTGGCCCAAAGTACATGAACAACCTGGTGAGCTCCTACTTTCTGTCCTTTTACCTATCCTATATATATATATATATATATATATATATATATATATATATATATATATTTGGAATTAAGTTATATATACTAATAGTGTAATCAATTTTTTACTCTATTAGTGTAATTTAACTATGTTACTTATCATTTATTTAAGCTACAGTTCAATGTTATTAAATAGAGTTATTTACAATTGCCATTTAAATGACATGATTGTTAGCATAAAGCTTAAACTCTATATTTTTAAGTTTATTTTGATTTTAAAAGAAAAGCTGCATTGGAAGTATACGTTCCATTAGAAGTAAGTGATGCTGTTAGTAGAGTTAACATGAATGTTTGTGACTATGGCGGCAGTTTTGGTTATCAGGGAAGCAACTTTGACCGCAATTGAATTTTAGAAGAATTGATGTGTTCCGTTAAACTAGAAAAAAAGTATAGCAGTATATATTACACCTTTTAAGTTTAGGAATCCTGGTGGACAGTGGAAGAGTCTGTTAGTTTTTGTTTCTACCTTTTGTAGTGGACGCCTTTCTTGCCTCTGGAGCTTGTCCTTTCAAAGTTTTTAGTGGGAGCTTGGCCCTACCATTTGCATGTATTACGGTCTTTAAATTGGAACTGCCTTTAGAACTATTGCTAGGGCAATACTTACATTTTATGCAATTTCTTACATGTAACTAAACTAGAAAGAAGTAGCTTTCACTTTTTCATTTCCTTTGTTGCACATAGTATGTGCATTCTGCACTATTGCCTCTAAAGCATTCATTGAAGAAGTCTTATGTTCCATTCTATATCTGAAAGTGTTGGGATTATCAGATTATGTGTGCCTGAGATGTAGATAGGAGATGAGAAAGCTTCTTAGTTCTCTGGTTTTTGCAGGATAAAATCTGATAGTATACTAGCTTTGACTTAGGCACAGATTGGCTTCTTTCTTACTGTAAAGAGTATACATTATAAGGGCTAGTAAGTAAGTGTAATTCTTCTGCAGGATCACTCTTGTTGGATGGAGTAGATGTCACCGGATACCCCATATTCAATGATGATAAGGTTTACCATCTCAACTTGCACTTGTTGATGTCCATATAAACATTTGTCAATAGTACTTAAGATTCTGAATCTGTGAAGGCAGGTGCAGAAGGCTATTGCATTTGCACGGAAAGCTCACCATGGACAGCTACGCAG